TTCCTCTTCTTCCTCCCTTCTTCCCTCATTTTCTTTATATAGTATCTCAATTGGCCCGCAAAGCTCAGTGAAGGCACTGGGACATGCTTAACACATTTTACAGAGCAGGAAACTGAGGCCAATTCCAGTTGGCTGTGGAACTGGACTCCTCTCGCAGGAGCCCTCACAGGCGGCTTTCCACCTTTCCTAAGGGGCAGCCGCAGGGAAAACAGAACAAACCTCCCTGTGAAGCTTCCAAGCCTCATTCTCCAGCACCTCTTCATCATGGATGCTCCACATTCTGTCCTCTCCCCAACCCCACCCCATTCTTTACTGCCCCCCTTCTGGGGAGCAGGTGGTAGGCTTGCACTCACTGTGCAGGTGTGCACCCCCATGGGGCGGGGCGAGAACTGGGGGCGGGGCGGGCGCAGGCTTGTTTTTGGGCAAAAGCAGGAGCAGGGGTTCTGGCCTCTCAAGTGTGCAGGTCGTGGGGAGGCCCGGTCAGCGCCGGGAGCTTCACCAAGCTGCCGCAGTGGGGTACCCAGCAGTGGGGCGCTCCTCCACTGAGGGGGCCCCGCCCCTCCACCCTCACCTCAGGGCTGAGAGTCTGCGCCCCTCCGCCCAGGTGTCTTTCTAAGCCTGCAGTCATGGCCTCTTGTTTCCCGCCTATTGGGGCCAATACAGAACCTCACTCTCTGCAGGCAAGGCAGATCCCCACCTGCCAGCACCCTGCCCAGGCCTGAGCCCCCTCCAGTGCACCCCACCTTGGCGCCGCTCTGTGCCCCTTGGGCCGCCTGCCTCCTGGCCAGCCGCTTCCCCGAAGCCATGTCGCTTGCCCAGGATCGCCCATCAGGCGGAGGCCTGTCTGCGTGCCTGCAGACCCCATGGCCGCGGCTCCTGGCAGCCGCTTTGCCAAAGGTTCCTCTACCTTCAGGCTCTCTCCTCAGCCCCCCGGGAGCTTGGATCCCGCCCAGCCCTTCCGTGGCTCCCTGCAGCCCCACTCTACTCAGCTCTTCTGCCGCCCACCTGTCAGGAAGCTGCCAGGAGCCTTGCTGCAGGCAGTGTGGTTCTGGGGCAGGGGCTGGGGTGTGGGGAGCAGCTCCAGTAAAGTTTAGTAAACCCCAGGGCTCCAGCCCCTCCTTGAGCGGAGCCCAGGGCAGGCTGAGGGTCTGGGTCGGAACAATGCAGCTGCGGAGGCCCCACCCACCCAGGGCCTCACACAGGGGTCCCGGCTGGGGTCGTGGCTTAGGCGGCTTGTTCGTGCTGCCAAGTCCCCGCCCCGCCCCCCCCTGCTCAGGGCCCCACACAAGGGTCCTGGCTAGGGGCGTGATTTAGGCGGCTGTTTGAGCCGCCAAGCCCCAGGCCACTTAGGACCTCACACTTTGGTCCCGGCTGGCACTGGGGCTTAGGCGCAAAACAGGCTAGACTGCAGTTTGTGCTGGCCCTCCCTGCCTGCAGTATGCAAATTAGCCGCCATCTTGGTTGGCCGTTAATTTGCATATCTCCCTGATTAGCCAATGGGAAGGGTAGCGGTCATACGCCAATTACCATGTTTCTCTTTTATTAGTGTAGACTAGAGGCCCAGTGCACAAAAATTTGTTCCTTCTGGTGGTCCCTCCACCTGGCCTATGCCCTCTTGCAGTGTGGGACCCCTCAGAGGATGTCCACCCCATTGGGGACCCTCAACCCATGGAGGTTTTGCAAGCCTGGGTGAGGGGCTGT